CGCAAAAAAGCAAGGTGACCCATTTGAGATAAAAACGGCTTCATAGGTAATCGACCATGCTGATCATTATCCCGCAAAAAATTTTCTGGCAACCCCTTTAGAAAAAAAGCGCGAAATTCTGATATGCCTTAGACCGCAACTCAGCGATAAAAAACGCGACTCACGACGCGACTACGCAAATACTACTGTTTATATATCTGCGATTGCCTCGGCTCGACTCACCATATCGCGAATCGTACCGCGCGCGATACAGCGATAAGATAGTGATCGCGCTAAGAAATATTGACTTGGTTTTCTAAAAATTCATAACTTTTCAAGTTCTGACGCGAAATCGCGAATCTATAGCGATCGCGCCGCGACATAGCGACAGTATAATGAATCTTAGAAACAGACTTTTTTTAAAATAAGATTGGACCACGATCACGGCGCGAGTTTAAGAGTCCAGGGCGATCGCGATGAGAATACAAGATTTTTTAGCGATCGCGCCGCGATATGCGGGATTTAATAGCGATCGCGCCGCGATATGCGGGATTTAATAGCGATCGCGCCGCGCCTGAGGCGCGAAAGTCGACTTGGGTTCTTGAAAATAAGAATTGATCAAGATCGCGTCGCGACTTTGCGATTTATAGCGATCGCGCCGCGACAGACGCGAATTCATAGCGATCGCGCCAAGAATGAGGCGCGAACGTTGACTTGGTTACGCAGTTATCAGCTTAACAGACAGACTATTTCATTTCTCGCAAACACATAGTTATGTATGAGAAAGGAGATAATTGCCTGCGGAGATACTTTATTTTGAGTAAAAAGATTTCTTTACTTTGTAAATGAAACTTCGAAGTCATAGAATAAAAGTCTTTCGTCTGACTCAGACGATCAAAAGACATAGCATTGTTACTGTATATGTTTCGATCGTCTGTTAGCTCAGCTGGTTATCTGTTAGCTTGTTAATTCTAGGTACCTACGGTCGAATCGCGCTAAAGCTACGTAAGTACAAGTTGTTTTCTTTCTCTATTTCGTCGCTCTACTGGGTTGTATAGTCGTTTGTATGTATATCTCTGCGTTCAGACAGGTACCAGAATTTAATCTGATGCTGAATTTTTTTTTTCATTTTAATCTATTTTCAATGAACACACACGTGTTTCAACGGTCAAGATGCATTCTGATAAACGCCTTAGAAACTAACACACATCAACACGTTTTTTGCCAGAAAACGTTTGCCTGGAAAGTGACCGTATACTGCCTAAGCACAGACATTTCGCTTGCATGAACCTAGAATACACGTTTACGGAAAAAAACAATAAGACATACGATACTGTCATTGTATCCTACACTCTGGCCTTCTCAAAAAAAGAACCTTCACCAATTTCCAAAAACTAATCGTTTACTGTAGACTGTACACTTCAATCTCGCTAACTTCACAAGCACCACTTCCAGTAAATGTGTTCCTCTTCTGACCTAGTGTATCAATGTATATACTAGGAAACCTAATGTAACTCCTGTTCAAAATACCCTTTTCTTCCACCACCGCAATATCACAACGATAAAGATAATAAAGATAATAAGGACCAAATATTGGTCCACCCTGTTTATAATGATATACAGCGGATTTGCTGTCGGCCGGGTTAATATTAAACTTTGTTATTGGAAGATGGTTTGGGTTTGTAAGAGTGAAAAGAAATGCTGATGGGTCCGCTGCAGTTTGGTCATTTGAATTCCATGGGACAGCTGTGTAGCCACCAAAGAGATAGCCACCGTTTTTGGATTGGATAACTACCATCGTTGGAAATTTACCATCGCATTCACGATGAAAGTCGCTGGCGGCAAAGCCATCTTTTGTAGATTTGTAAATCAACTCCCATTGTTGATGTTGTTTTCCATAAAATTCATTCAGTTTGGATTGATGTTGTTTTTCGTTTAGTAGTGTTCCACCTATAAATAACTGATTTTGATGGCAGTTTGTTTTCGCGTTCAGCGTTATGTGTAAAATGTGATCAAAATCAATTGTTTGAGCTTTAACCGTCACCGTAGTCGATGTGTCGTTATGTTCACAGTCACGTTTCACTTGCTCAAGTGTTTTGCGCAATATTTCAATGTCCTGTTCAAAAAAGTGACTAGATTCTTTTCTTTGACGAAGTTCAGCCGAGATTTGATCATATTTCTCTTTTACTTTGAGTCTCTTCTCATCAAGCAGATCTTGCACCTGTCGTCGAGCTTGATCAGCAATCATTTCTATCTTCTCAATAGTTTTTCTTTCCCATTTTGAGATATAATCAAATGCTTGGGGATCTGTTGGAGTTTCGGAATATATTTGTTGATAAAGTAAATCTCGATCACTTAATACACGTTGGAAATCACCTTCTAGTTCTTGTCGATGTTCATTCATATGCCCTTGGCAGAAGTTCCGCTGGCAGCCTTTACATGACAGAATTCCTGACATTTTACACGGCTTTTTTGATTGACATTCACTACTGGACGGTAAAGAAGAAGAGGCCATTTTGTCAGTGGTGAAATTACTAAAATGAAAATTTCAAAATAATATCTGTCTTAAAGGAAGAATGTTATTGTGTTCTAAAGTATTTATTAAAATGAATCTATCAGCTGAGACAACTTTAAAAAGCTCTAATTACTTACAGAATTTTATGTTATTGATACTTAAGTGGAAAAATTGTCACTTTTACTGATGTTAGTAATCGAGGGCTGGACGAATTCCAAAGTTCAGAAATGTTCATCTCTCATATTATTTCTACTCTTCAAATAGAGGTAAACTACTACCAGCATGTTGCTCTGTCACATTTGGTAATACAGTAGTAGTTAAGCAGCAGCGTTTATTATCACAATACTAGAATAGTATAGACTAATATCTACTTTCATCCTGACTATCTCCTTTTCTTCATTCATATACTTATTGCATCAGCGTCAAGAAACGATTCAGCGCAGATCAGTGGTTTAGCGAATGGTTAACATGACGAAGTACGCATCAAGTTCGAACCCTTTTTGTACTCTCAGTTTTCCAGAGCCGTTTGAAGAAATTTGTGGCCCCTGTGCTGATCATTACCGTTTTCAACACATCAGTTTGTATTTTTTTTAATAATAACAAAATGCAAGGCTTAAGCCGTTCGATTGGGTCCCTGTGCTATAGCACAATTAACACATAGGATAAGAAGACACTGCAGTTTTCTCTTTCTTTTTCAGAAGTTTTACATGTCTAAAAATGGTCTACTGTTCTAGTATTCTACTATTCTATGATTCTACTATATTCTACCATTAAAGTTAGTAAAATGTATGGATTTCACTTTAATTTTAGAAATTGCACGAATTTGGAATGTTTACTATCCCACTACTTCATTACTTAAAGACTTCGCTATCGCACACATAACTCAGCATAAGACATCCTTCTATTCTATATGTCACTTAGACACTACACAAACTGATAATTTCCATATAATAGAAGTTCACCTGGCTATATAGTAATGGACAAAAATAAAAATATTTGTTTTTGTCACGATTTATAATTTGTTCGTCGGTTTTAAGTGTTGAAGAAAAGAGAACTGGAGTGAAGCACGCATAATACATCACCTTGAAGAAAATTCCAACAGGAGATAATAAAAAAAGAACAAAGTTTTTTTCCGTCTTAGTGCACTACTTTAAGTAATACTGTACGCAATCGAGATTTATTATCTATAATGTCCTGGACATTTAGGCTATAGTTTAGTATGTGTGACGTCAAAAACAAAATATTGCGTATAGTTCGACCTTTTCTCTGTCGTGATTAGAAAATATTTCCTGGTCGGGACAGACGAACCCTTTCCGTTCGCGAAATATTTCGGACTAGGCGTAGTTCAACCAAAACTTACTGTTCCTATCTCGGTTAAGGCAACCAAGACGATTCTTCAGAAATGGACTCTTTCCAAGTCAACGTTCGCGTCTCATTTCTGACACGATCGCTATGAATTCACGTCTGCCGCGGCGTGATCGCTATAAAATACATATACTATACATATACTATTACCACTATTACCACCATACATATACTATTACGATATACGACGGACGTGTTTTCTCCTCTTAACTATATACTGCTGCAGTTTTTCCTTAACGGTGAAATATTATTCGTTCTTTTTGAGCCTTATACTGCTCTATTTGTTCTGTTTTTTGCCCTGGATAGTGCTTATTTACTGTACTATAAGGTGTATAATTTTCGTCTCACTTCGTTCGTTAATTTCATCTATTCGTACGTTTTATTAATTAGTTTAAACTGAGTCATTGATCCATAGTTTATTCAAGTTGTTCTATTGGTCGTCTCTCGTCG